GCTTGTTGCTTTGCACGCTGTGTGCCAACACGCTTATCCAAATTGTGAAGGAAATAGTCGTCACTAGCTCCGGCAATGTCTTCCCAAAGATGGGGAGGTGCAAACAAGAAGAATGACCCCAACGCGGTCGAAGCAGCGGAAAGGGCTTCTTCAGTAGGCCCGTGATCCCCGCTGTAAATATTGGGATAGTCCTCCGTAAGCCATGCATCAGTCCGAGCCTCGTACGGCTCGTCCATGTAGGGAAAAGGCAATTGGGTATCAGGTCCATTCCATCCATTGAGCTTCATTTCTTTTAGAACATCCTTGTGTACACAACCGCGCGCAAGTGCTCCAACTCCGCCGACTGATTCAAGTAGAGATGGCTCGAAAAGTAAGTCAGGAGCAGCAGCAGAATCCTCCACGACGGCGTCGGCTTCTTCGAGGCATAAGTCCTCATCATCATCGTAAATGGACATATTCTCATTGTCACCATCGGAATCCAGTGCTGCAAAATCTGCTGGATTATCTCCAGGCTCGATAATGTTTGGGTCATCTACATCCACATACACTATAAGAATCCATAACGTGTACCCTTAACGTGTATATACACCATAAGCTTACCCATCATTGCTCTGATTCCATATGCAACGCTGACGCTTGGTTGCACTTTTTCAGGTGGTATGGCGGCCGGTTGCCCTTCTTCACCTGGCATCGTGCTTTCTCCGTCGCTATCAGGCTCAGAGCAGGCATACTCTGAGCCAGATGTAGCAGCAGCATCGAATTCAGCATGTAAACTACAATTGGGATACTCGTCTGTACCTATAAGGGAGTGGTGTGTTAGCGCTAGCAGTAGCTCACAGGTACAAGCAATGTGTTCGAACTGCTTACCGTTTATATCACCAACTGAATTGCCCAAATCACTCTCTGCCAGGTGTGGAGAGGTAGCCTGAATGTTCGGACAAACAGTCTTCGTCGTGTCTGGATCTGGACTGACAGTTCGGTCAGCAACTATATACACGATAGCGTTAGAATCATAACATGTACATACACAATAAGATCAAACGCACCATCTTGTCTATCAGGCACATCGGTTTCAGGCTGTCCATTTTTCGGAGTAGGTTAAGTCGCTGCCGCTTTTGCTTGTTGCTTCGCCGCGGTAGCTTTCTTCATCTCCTCTGGCAAAGCACACGTATTAGAGTCCACACAAAGACCTTGAAAGGCGATACTACTTACCCAAGGCGATACGGTCCAAATATGCCATCAACGCAGCCTCTCCTACGAAAAAGTCCACGCCACGTACGTCCTTCTTCGTCTTCCCCGGCATAAGGTACGTGTAGTCGTTTGACAGGCCCGTAGGGGCCTTTGATTTCCATCCTTCCTTCAGAAGCTCTCGCCATCGGCCTCTGAACCCGGACATCTGAGCGGCAGCGGCGAAACTTCTCGAATGACCGAGATATGGGTGGCGCAGAATTCCACCTGCAATCCTCTATGCTGATTTGTGTGACACCCATCAAACCTGTGTCTTCTAATTTTCTAGAAAAACCAAGTTCAAGGCACACGCATAGCTATGTACTGCTGTGCGGGAAGATGGGAAATATGCCTACCCCTTCTTGACTGACAATTTGTATGGTCCTATACAAACGTTAAGTATAAAAGCTTAACGTGTCTCAGACACGTTAAGCTTTTCGCGGAATCGTGTCTCATACAGGCTCTCGGGTTTGGGGGGTTAAAAGACGAAATTGTTTTGGAACCAGTGGGCTGTTTCAAATCTGGAGGTGGAGCGAAAGGGATGAAAACAAGGTCCCAAATTAACATGAGCAGTTAAATTGACTCGGTTGAATAGATTTATAGTAAATTAATACTTTCTTCAATCGTCGTGACGAGTCAGACGCCAAACTTGTCCGGAAAAGCTCCTTGAAGCCATCTGGCGATGTCTAAATGCCCGTTCGCAATAGCATCCGCCATCGCTGCTCGAGTGCAGCCTTCAGCGCAGTGTTCATGTAGCCATCGTACAATGTTCAGACGTCCGGCAGCTGCTGCGTAGTCCATCGCATGAGTACTGCACCCTTCGTTTCTGTTATCATGTAGCCACTTCAAAACAGAGAAGAATCCATTTTTTGCAGCCATGTCCATTGCAAACTGCGTGCATCCTTCAGAGCGGTTCTCATGTAGCCATTTCACCACCTCCAAGTGTCCATTACTCGCTGCCAAGTCCATAGCGTCAGTTGTACAACCCTCTGAGCGTTGTTCGTCTAAACCTTTTACCATTTCTAAATGCCCATTACCCGCCGCTCTGTTAATTGCTTGCTTAGTGCACCACGCTTGGTGCCAATGTAGCCATTTGATCATTTCTAAATGACCATTCGCTGCTGCGTTTTCCATGCGAACATCTTTGATCACCACAGATTCTGAAAATGTAGCCATCATCCACTGGACTGCATCTAGATATCCAAGATCCACCGCTCGCATGACGCCTTCGTACGTCAACTGGTCCCCACGTTCACTATGTAGCCATTGCATCATCTCGAGATCTCCATGTCGAGCAGCTTCATCGATTAGAAACATGTCGTCGGGTGGAGGGGCAGTGAACTCATGCAAGAACTTGGCTACATCGAGATGATTGTTCGCCACGGCGCAGTACATCTCGTCTCCTCCCCAGTACACGTGGTCGTGGTGAGTGAACAGCCACTGTAGGACCAGCAAGTGCCCGTTCTTGGCAGCTTCAGCCACAGCTTTTGACGGTACTTGGCCTTCGGGATATCTTCGAATCAACCACTGTACTACTTCCACGTACCCTACTTGCATCGCTGTCATCACGCTAAGCTGGAATTCTCGCTCTAAATTTCCCTCTTTATCCGCGTTGGTCGCAGTTCGTGCGGCGAGTCGGTCGAGGAGTCGCACAGATCCGAATCTGCAGGCGTCTGGGATGGTCCAAGTGGTGGACGGATCCAAATACGCGTCAATACTTTGTGTGATGTGGCTCAATGCTCCGATGGAAGGGTAGGAGCGACAAATTACTGCTACACTTGTGAATAATAGTGTCGAGTTCTCCATTACAGTCTGCGTCTTCCGAATGGATTATGACAAAAAAAATAGATGAAGAGCTTTGTGATCTTGACGCTGATTGGTGCTGTTCAGGCTGCTTCCAACCAATCACATAAGGACTTGATTCATGTAGCCATTTCATCACGACCAATTACATGTACAATAGGTCGCATAACCAGTTGTATTAGAATTTGCGAGCTACATTTTGGGCCATAAATGTGTGTGCACAAATCGAACACTCGTGTTTCTTCTAGAAGATCGCCGAGATCGTTAATAATGCAGCCCGTTCCTACCATGCTGTTTTGTCTTCGAACTAAACTACTTTTAACTAGTAACCCGACAGTTGCGTATCGTCTGAGTCGCAGATTAAATCGTCGTGGCCTGGAAGGTCGTCAAGCGTCATGCTGTGGCGCAGTCTCTTTCGGCTTCGGTACTTGTCCTGCGACAGACGTCGTTTTGTTTTAATGGCGTTGCCAATAGCACGTAGTCTGTTCTCCCGCTGTGCGTAGGCCTCACCGTTGGCATCTCGCAGTGGGTTTGACTCAATGTGGAAGTTGGTCAAACTCACACAAACTTGGAAAATATCGTCGTACAAGTCCTCGCTCCAGCGGTACTTGTCCGCAACAATGCGCCACAAACTGCAGAGCCTCCCAAAGAAGTTTTCAACGAGGACTCGGTCACTAGAGATGTTTTCATTTCGGCGCTGAATCTCGGGCGGGAGGTTCGAGCCTTTAGTCGGGTGGATACAGCGAAGGTAGGCTTCCAGCCCCTGGTAACCTTTATCGGTGAGTACTGCCCATTCACTGGGAAATTCCTCGCGCAACGGGCCCTCGTCCGGAATTTGTTTGTCGGTCTCCGACTTCACGCGCATGCTCGAGTGGAACTCCATGTTATTCCGGAAGATCGAAATGTCGGGCGTGTTGCCGCGCTCGTGCTGGCTGCAGTTGATAGCGAAGCCTTTAGGGTTTACAGACACCTCTACCTTGAGGCCGTACAATTTGTGCTTAGCACTATAGTACGGCATCACTTCGGCCATGTTTCCAGCAGGTCGATTGGCCTGTTGGAATGTGACGTCCGTCGCATATAACGCACACGGGTAGTGACTAAAGGTGTTTCCGGAAGTCACCAGCCGCCGCATGTTGGTCTCTACCGTTTTCCTCGCACCCACTCATCGTAAATGCGCGGCGCAAGTACACGGCAAAACGACGTTATCGTCTTGATAAACGTCGGGGTTTTGATCCGAAAAACGTGAGCATTCATATCCCAGGTGCCTCCGTGTTTGATCACAGCTACTGTCATGAAGAGAACGTCCTTTCCAGCAAACTGAGAGCGACGTCCTCTTCCGACGTTCCAGTAGCGCGTGACGTGCAGTCGCACTATGGACCACAGTGCGTTGAGTTCGCGAGGAGTAAAGTTGGTCAGGCGGCTTACGGCGTCAGCTCCTCCTTCCATATACCACGCGTCGAAAATCGGGCACGGTGAGTCGACATCCACGTCGTCATCATTGCGGAGCACGCGTGAAAACCTGTCGAGCTCAGCCCGGCGGACGATGTCTCGATCAGCAAGCATGCTTAGCATTTGCTGGCGGTGATCTTCTTCCGTAGCGTGAGAGCGGCGACCAGTGCGACCTGACATCTTGAGCGAGTTGGGGGGATGTTTTGTAGCTTGGTAACTATTAGGTTAATTGCGAAGTGATTAAGTTTTAACAGTTGGAGTGGCAAACGTTGTCGTCATAAACTACCTTTAAGTAGCTGCGCATTGTTCTAGAAGATCGATAACATCGCTAATAGATCTAGAAATTTCGAATGTGTGTCATCTAGAAGAATTTACGGTCAGTTGTTTAATTTTTGCAAGTTGTTTAGTGCTCTGCACAGATACTCGCTGGGTGATTTGTAACTGGTTTTTAGGTCTAATAATGATTAATTTCTGACTTATATCCTTAGCTATCGATTTATTTTTCTCTTTTAAACTCAACCATCGATTCATGTTATTAATACCTCGTGTCTCGCCACGAAATTATAGACTCGGAGTATTACGTCGTGCTCCGTATCCGAGACTATGCAGCCATTCCATCATGTAGAAATCGTCTCTGTCAGCAGCTGCAACAACTCGGTTTCGGTCAAACTGGTCCGGATACTTGGAATGTAGCCATTGTACAATCTCGAGATGTCCTGAACACGTCGCGTTCTCTGCCGCTCGCCACGTGCATCCTTCCTTTCGGTTGGCGAAAAGATACAACATGACTTCGAAATGGCCACCGCCAGCTGCCTCATCCATCGCTTGAGTCGTGCATCCTTCAATACGGTTCTCGTGCAACCAGCGTACCGTATGTAGCCATCCGTTAGCTGCAGCGTTATCCATCGCAGCTGTTGTGCAGCTTTCGAATCGGTTCGCTTGTAGCCATTTGATCGTTTCCAAGTGGCCTCCAGCAGCAGCGCGATTCATCGCATGTACGGTACTGCCTTCTTTACGGTACTGTTGTAGCCATTTGACAACTTCCAAATGTCCATTAGCGGCCGCGTTGTCCATAGCATTAATCGTGCAACCTTCTTTCCGTTGGGCATGTAGCCATCTTACAATTTGTAAATGACCGTGTCCTGCAGCTTCATCCATCGCAATTGCACCGCATCCTTCTCGTCTGTTATAATGTAGCCATCTTAGTGTTTGAAGTTGATTGTTAGCAGCCGCTAAGTTCATCGCGTCCTGCGAACACCCTTCCGATCGGTTCTCATGCAGCCACTGTACTATCTCCAAATGGCCGTTAGCTGCAGCGTTGTCCATGGCTCGAACGGTACAACCTTCATGTCGATGCTTATGTAGCCATTGCAGCACTTGCATGTAGCCATTTCGAGCCGCTCCGTCCATGGCTTCACGAGTACAAGATTTCCAGGACTCCTGGAATCGATTCTGATGTAGCCATTTTACCATCTCCAAGTGGCCATTCGATGCAGCTTTATCCATCGCTGCAGTGGTCCAGAGTGCAAATTTTCCGTCAAACTTTTTACCATGTAGCCATTTGCACACATGGAGATGTCCGTTTTCCGCGGCTGCAGTGGTCGTTCGTGTCGTTACCAGGCTAGGCTGGCGTCTAGTCAGCTTCTTTACAGCCTCCAAATGTCCATTGGCTGCTGCCTCGTTCAACGCGCTCTCTTGGAGCACGAAGTGGCCCTTGATCATGTACTTGAACACGTCCAAGTGGCCATGAGCCGCCGCCTCCCCGGCTCCGTACCCACTCCATTGGTTCCTCGTCTTATGTAGCCATTTGACAAGCTGCAAATTTCCATTTCTTGCAGCCGATTCAATCACATTCATACCGACAGAAGGAGGTGCCGTGTGTGCATGTAGCCATTTCACTACATTCACTTGGTCGAACTGAGCAGCTACACGCATCTCGTTGGCTCCCCAGAAGACCGCGTTGTGGTGGGTATGAAGCCACTGTAGTATATGCACATGGCCAGCCTGTGCAGCCTTCTCCACTGCGTCTGTGACTCTTCCTTGAGGGTAATAAACCTCACAGAGCCATTGCATGACTTGGAGATCCCCTCGAGCTGCGGCGGTCGCTGTACCGCGAGCAAAAGCCCATTGCTGATACAGTGGATCGCTAGAGGTCTGAGCGATCCATATGCGCTGTAGTAAGTGCAGCTTGGCGTATCTAATGGCTCTGGAGCACGCGATAGGGATCGAATAGTGCGACGAGTGGTCCAAATACGCCGAGATGCTCGATAACACGTGGGGAAGTGCCGCGACATTTGGAGAGCTACGCAACGCAATCGACGCACACGTGAGTGGCGGCACACATTTACTGGGACGCACGGGGTCTTTGCGCGGCGGAGCTTGAGCGAGTCGCCTCTGGAACGTCCAGTACGGCGTCATCCGGAGGAGGGAAAATTGTCGACTGAGGTGTCGGATTGTTACCTTCAACTGAGTACAGGTTTATGTTCGATGATATTAATAGTGTCGGTATTGCGATTAGATAGGTCATTTGTTATCAAAGCACAAAAAATTACAAAATGTTTTTAAAACTGTAACGAATATCTAAGGGTATCGGATGGCAGGTTTTTCAAGAGATTGGATTCCTGAAGTCGTACCCTACCATAGACGGGTGGATGTTGAGTGGGACAAAATCTCACCGGATGTTTGATGCCTTCAGAGATTGGCTTAAAAGATGCTTGGCTTTATTCTATTGGTAGAAACAGAAAACGTTGATGTGCAGCGAGCACCAAGCAGCAAAAGTGTTCGGCGCAACATATCGCCGTCATCGCAGCCGCATTGTTTGCTCCACCGTTGGTGGAGTCTACGTGCGCTGGTCGGGTGGTTGTGGGCGGCTGTAATGATGTGTGCCTTGGAGTCAGCCGTCGGTGTTCTATCAGAGAAGCGATGGGAGATGAATTTGAGGTCGTTGGGAGATGATTTTGAGCTGCGATCTACAGTGTAGAACTTCGAAAACGGTGAGGTCACCTCACTCAGTGAGGTGTACTGTACACCTCACCATGCTGACCGACAGTCAGTGGCTGTACTCTGTATAGTGTACAGTTACATGTACGTTGTATAAGCTGGGTTACGGTCAGTCGCTCTTTAAGATGCTTGAAGGCCGGCCTATGGTCCTGTTGCTACCACTGGTTACGTCTTCTTAAATAGCAAGATCATTAGCTGAAAAAGAGCGAGGTTGCCTGAACTGGTTGATGACAGCCCGATTCCGACCACCTGCGTCTGGACATATTAGCGTCTTGTGCTTTCCCATAGCCTAACAAGCTCGCTACGTGTACCAAAAAATGATCTAACTACCAAATCGCTGCCAACGAAGATGCTTAAATCACTAAGCATTTCGCAATAAAATTGTAAAACAGATAAAATTTAGCATTTTCACGACCCCGGCTCTGTAGTGCAAATTTTGAAAGGCAGTGTTAGCACATTTCGGATAGTTATTATCTTTAAGAAAGGTTACAAAGAGAGACTGGCGTGTACTGCGGCAGCTGCATTATCCAGGGCAGACTGCCCTTAGTAGCGCAGTAGATATAACTCCTGGAGCGGTACTGGGCATCATTGAGGCCCACCGGTGGCACTGTATAAAATACGGGGGCAATAGATAGAGTCATATTTGGCCTTACTCATTCAAAAAGTGGAAGAAATCATGAATCGACCACATAACAAGATAAACTATGTTAAATCATTTTATCAGTTCTCTGGATATTCATATCCAGAGTTTTAGGGGCGATCGAAAACCGTCGACGATCCTCTATAAATAATTAGGGTGCTACATTTGTAATTATTAAAAGTATAGTGGCTTGCAAGTGATAGGCTAAAAGGACGGAATACCTGATAAACTACGGTAAAGCATAAAAAGCACTGGTGAATGTCGTTCCAAGCCGCCAGGGTCGGTTTTAGGTGGATGTTGCTCCAATATACGATACCACCGATGGTGGTTGGTACAGCATGAAGGCTACATGATTTAAAGAAGGGAATAGATGAATACTAATAGGATTCCTATCGAGGCCGTCTCGCGTCAAGACAGCAAGGTCGGACGACAACGCACGTTCGACCGCGGCTTCTTCATTTTGGCTAAACTGTATTCTCATACACATCAACCTTACGACGTAACGCGTAAGAAAGCCCCCCTCCCTCTCTCTCTCTCTCTCTCACACACACACACACACATCACACACATCACACACATCAGAGGAAGAAAACGAATTACCACGTCGGGTATTTCAAAGGAATGGATATTACTTTATTATTGCATAACAAGTAAAGCACTCGAGCGTCCAAACCGAATGCGGATCCCTATCAGCATATGCCTATGCTTAAGGCGCTGTAGACGCCTCCGTTTATGCCTTCTTCGACGCCGCGACTTTCGTTTCCGGCGTCACCAGCGGAGGGGTGGTGTAAGCTTGGCTGGTAGGAGGTGTCTGAAGTTCTCTTCCATGTCGGCTCTTCTTGCGTGGGGTTGGGTGAGGCAGCTCTTGGTCGGTCGGAGCGTCGTTGATGGTTTTGCTGCTGGCACCAGAAGCTGTGCACTCAATCTCGGAGTCAGTGTCACAAACTTTCGTTACCATTTCAATTCGGTTTGTATTTCCTTGGGCAAGCTTGTTCTCGAACAAGTTTAGTCCCGTCACCCACTCGACGAATATCTCAGCTCCGTCCGGAATTTCAGTGATGTCTTGAGATTCCACATCTCGCTTCTTTCTATGCCAGACCGACAATCGAAAGAAATTGGCCGCTTTCTCATCAAAGGACATCTCTGGAAGTTCCTTCTTCAGCTCGGGTGACAGGGTAGCGAGTTCTCGATCTCCCAACAAGAGATTCCATCCACAAGAAAACGGTTCACGGAAAGCGATGTACATGTCGAGGCTAATGTAAGCCGTGCATGGGGTCGGTTCATGGTTGGACGATTCCGTTTTGGCGGTGTCTGGCTTGCCCGCATCACGTAGTATTGCAACGATGGCTGACGCCTTCTCGAAGGCTGGAAGCCGTTGTTCCTCCCTGCGTTTAATACGACTTTGCAGTAGCTCGGTGAGACTCATTTCTTGACGGACAAATCAAAAGTGAATCTCTGAAGTGCTCCAATGTTATCGTGTCGCTCGTTCTGGTTGCATACTATTTTTTATCATCTGTTTGCTGAGCTAGGTTGCATATTCGTATAGGGGACAACCGTATTAATGTGTATCCGGATTACATAGTTCGTTTGCTTGGCCTTCCACCCGTCTTTCGTGGTCACAAGATCCTACTTTCGATTTTCCCGCACCATGTATTGTACGTGTTGTTGGCAGTAAGTAGTAATCTTGGATGGTGTTTTGTCATCGTCGCTGTTAAGGTATTATACATTTGAAAAACACTGTAAGCGTCTGACGTAAAATTCTCTTGTGTTGGCGTACTCATTGACCACTGAGAAGTGCCAAGGACTGACAGTAGAGAAAGTGATTCTTGCTCCGCTTCGTCATCCGACTCGCAGGATTCCTCAGCGTTCATCTTTCTATGTCGCCGTCACTCGAGTGAAAACATTATCGCAGTTGTATCTCATGGCCCCCCTTACGAAAGAGTTTTTAGAGTATTTTACCTTAAGTCGTGATGCGCTGGCAGAAACCCAAAGATTTCATGCAATTGAGGATCGAACAGATTAAGAAACCATAATGCTGTGGAAAAATTGTTACAGGCCTTCTTTAAAATACAGTACTTTCTTAAGTTAGAGTACCAACTTGTTTTCAAGTTTTCGAAGCTCGGGGATAGCCACTCAAATGAATGGCTATCATTCTCGCTCGGTTTGTTGATGTCTTCTTCTAGACTGGAAGTCTAAGTTAAATCGCAATTCTTCTCCTTTTTTTGTTGTAAAAAGTTCTTTATTCCGCACTAGTTATTACTTTTTGAAAATACCGTATATCCAGAGCTTCACCGGGCTTAGCACGTCATTAGTCATAAACAATTTAAATATTAAGTTTACTGTATTACGATCGCCACAAAACGTTTCGCACGCGCAAGTAAGAGATTGAGTGCAACAGCACATTCATAATTATGCTACCGGTAGAACTTAAACATTAGATATTATTTAACGACGAGTGAAGTACACATTCACGCATTAATCGCCTTACGACCCTTAAGGGATCGCTTGAACAGGAGACAGCATCGTCACAAACGAACAGACTTTTCGCGTCGTTTTGGGCTGTCTGTTTCATGCAGTGACGAAAACTTACATTATTCACTACATGTAACAGTGTATAAACCTTACATCCTGAATATGGTCGACAGTCTGCGGATCTTCAACTTTGTCGTTCAAGACGCAAACCCCGGGACGATGACGAAACGCCACTAACGTTTGACGAGTCTTTCATGAAGCGGCCGCAGATAATATAGAGTCTTCGTCCTCACAATGGGGAGATCATTGTAAGATATTCATTCAAGTCGCATGGCTCTAGCAATTCTACCCGAAGTGACCCGACAGCTTAAGGATATGAGCGTCCACGCCACCGCTGTCATCGTAGCCAAGGTGATGACATTTCTTTCCACGCTCATGATGCGAGTCTCACTGCTGCCGGATTTCAGGAGGATGCACAAGAACCGCAGGACGGGCGACATGTCGGTGATGCCGTGTCTTCTGCTCTTCGTGAACTCTTACGCTGTCATGTTCTACGCCATTGCCATCGATGACATGTAGTACCAGGTAGGAACACCAAGCCGGTCGCACGTTTCACCAAAAGATTCGCACCAGGCACTAACCAAGGATCTGTGTTGCTTCACCAAAGCTCGGTGTCTCTTCACCAGCAAGTCTGCACCCACCACCAGCCTGTCACAAGCCTTTCAAGTGGCTTCACACTGCTAAGAGGTTTCCTCACTCCAGCTTGACGTCTATACCGCAGCTCGCATCTCCAGCTTCCTGTCGATCGCCATTTCAAAATTTTCCAGCTCCTGCGCAAGGGGACGGCCGGAGACACGTAGCTCCTGCTTCTTGCTGCCAAATCGTGTCGTGTGACTAATGAGTGTACACAACCGCGATCCAGGCGCACCGCCTCCCGCTCGGGCTGACACAGATGCATCTGATGAAGAAGAATACATATGGACGGAGATATGGCGGTCGGATGAGGGGGAAGCAGCCCGGGATAGGCATCTAGCGTCATTACCGCACTTCATGCGCCGGAAGAACAGCGTTAGCTCTTGTACACTGGACCACAATGAGACCGGAGATTCCCAGCTGGCCTTAACTCCTCACGATATGCGCTCGGTGCTGACGGAGTGCCGCTCGCATCGCTGCCGTGAAGCTACTGATGGCGCCGCGTGTTGGTGCCGTTATAAGGTGAACTCGTGCGAGGATAGCAACTGTTGCGTTATCTTCCAGCAAGGCAAGCATGCGATGCTAGATCCGAACGTGTTAACACCCCAACGGCCAGAGCTCACTGAGGAGATGAAGACTTACATCGTGAGCCAGCTTACCAACCGTCCGACAACCATCGCCTACCGCCTATTCAGTGTCATCGTCAGCAAAGTGGAACGTGGCGAGATGCGTGGGCCAGCGCCACACCGGAACAAAGTGGACAACTTCGTGCGTGGCTGGAAGAGAAGCAACCCCGCCGATGAAATGGCGCGCGTGATCGAGATGTGCAATCGGTCCCTGTATGATGAGGCTGGGATGGATGCTGAAAACCCGACAGCCACAGTGATCTTGTGCGATTCGGTCGTGAAGGATGGCAGGCACGTTGCTTCTGTTGGGAACGGGAGTGAAGCGAACTTGTTTCGAGTTGGCATCACCTGCTACAAGCTTCTTCAAGACTATGTCAACGTTCAGCTGTCTCCTGACGCAACCGCGATGCTTCACGTCGACACAACTTTCAAAATTGTGAAGCAGTGCTATCCAGCGATGGTCGTCGGGTACTCGGATAAGGGTGGACACTTTTTTCCGTTGGCATACTTTAGCATCTCGCGTCGACGCGAGGAGGACATTTCCTGGTGCCTGCAACAGCTAAAGCGGGTCTGTTTCGAGCAGTTCACGATTGTTTTTACACCCGAATTTGTGATGGACGCCGACGGTGCCCAGCGCAATGCTGTTCTGGCCCAGATACCCAGCACAAAAATATTAATGTGCTGGTTCCACGTGACGCAAAACGTTTTCAAGAAAGCGAAGGCCAAGGGTGTCACGCCAGCGCAAACCAAGGACTTCTTTGCGGACATGTACGACTTGCACTACGCAGCCGAGGACGAGTATGAAGCGAGCATACAAGCCGTACTGGATAAATGGGAGCAGCTGCCCTCCAACTCGGCGGCGCACGCACTCGGGCATCACATCAAAACCATATGGATCAACGGCACCGAGTTTGGGACCTGGCAGGTCTTCCACACGCCAACGGGGTGCGCCACGACGAACAATCCTCTCGAGCAGTATCACAGGACGCTGAAGATCAACTGTGACAACTCTCGGGCGACCCCGTTCGAGATGATGGAGTCCATAAAGCGAGCTCCTTTAGCTTTCGTCAGTGAAGGACACGTCTTCAGCAACATACCACAGGTTTCGGATCGGCTTCACAAGCTGTAAAAGACACTGGTGGATCGGCGGTGCATCTCAGCGACGCAGCTTCCAACAGGTCGCTCGCAGAATAAAGTACGTTTTGCCGTCAAGCAGCAGCCGCTGCCAGTGAATGCCAACGTTCTCAAGCAGTATGATCAATCGATCGGTTCGGTTAATGCTCGGCGCATGCAGATGCAGGACATACCATCCGATGGCTGGGTCGTGGTTCCCGGTCGACTGCAGTGTGATTGTTACTACTGCTGGAAACACGGAGTATGCCCCCACATCATCGATGCGTGCACTGCCACTGGCGTTCCATGTCCGGGACTTACACCATCGCCGCGGCGGCTCGTGACGAACGCTCGGCGCTCACGCCTTCCTGCAATACGACGTAGTGCTGCTCGCCGCTTGCAATTCAACCGAGCGTCGACAAATGCCAGCAGCGAGCGTCCTGACAGCTCCGTGACTGACACAGAAGCATTGGATGCTGCTGCATCTTTGACTGTGTCAGATCCTGCAACGTCTAATCAGGATGACCAAAACTCGCCTCCGCTTACTACTGATGTTGATGGCGCTTTCGTTGGAGTTGAAGTCACAAGCAGTGATAGTATTGGCCCCGTTACTACGAGTGTCACTGGCGACGATGACGACACTCCCAGCGGATCGCTAGGCGTTGTCACTTCCGATGCGAGTGCAGACAATGATGACATGGTCCTTGAGCAACGTCTCCCCCAAGATACTGCCACTGTGGCTAGTACCCAGGAAGCTCCGCATGCCCGTCACCCCATTGCAACCCGTGCCAATCGAGCCGGCAAAAGTTCTGCTCGTGACGAAGCCGTGCCAGAATTGAGAAGCACCGCCAGTCCGACATCGGAGACCACAGGTGTTCATCAGGCGGTGACTCGCCCGAGCGCTCAAAGTGCGCGCACCTCCGAACCTCGCAGAACGGGTCGTCGTCGTAGTCCTACAACACGAGCTGCTGAATCTCAGGAGCAGGCGCGCAAGCGCACTCGCCAGTAATTTGCCCACTTCCGGGAACCCCTCCGTTAGTCAAGTTCCGATGATACCAGCATCTACGGAAGATGCAGAACATGCAGCAAGGCGAGCAGTGGCAGTGGATGTGTAAGTGCTCAGCACACGTTGCAGGCGGAGTACTGGAAGAACAGGTAAGGAGAACTAAATATTTATTCGAGGGATTTTGATTCACGCTTGCTTGCACATTAACGACAGCACCACAACTGTTTGTCATGACATTGTCTTGGTAGCGCACCAATTTATTCTTGGTGATACCGCTAGGTATTTTGGTGACGCATGCAGAGTTTTGGGTGTGGTGATCTCGTCATCCACGGTTGGTGATTTGTGCAGATCTCTTGGTGACGAGTGCGACGGCCTTGGTGTTACAGCACAAATCTCGATGACATGTTGCCATTATTCGCAATGTCGTCTTTGGGCATCTACTCAGGCGTCTTCTTCAACTACTTCTACCGCTGGGCGGTCCACAAGCGTCGCGTCATGCATATCTTCGCCATTGCTTTCTTTTTGTGCGTTCTTATAACCATCTACAGCGCTCTCGCTATTTATGAGAGAACAGGCCAATCCAGCTCGTCCGTTGACACAACAATGGGATTCATGACAATCGGCACCACCGTGGGCGTGTACGTGTCACCCATGGCCACGATCGTGCGAGTTATTGGGACCAAAAGTGCGTCCCCCATGCCGTTCACGATGGGTATCGTCAACGTACTTAACAGTTGCTGTTGGGTTTTGTACGCCACCTTGGTTGGTAATTTGTTTATTTTTGCGTCCAACACTGGAAACGATGCAAATGGCGCTCACTTATGTCTACCGACACAAATCGCAGACGGACCACGTGGAGAACCCCTATGACTGTGCAGCACTGTCAGTTGTGATTGTCTCGCCAGCTCTTGATGAGTGTGGAGGAGCGAAAGACACCAAGTTGTGCGACCGAAATGTTAATTTGAGGAAAAAATGAAAATAATGAATCGTCCATTATTTTTTAGAAATATAGCAGCACCTATTTTTTTGCCGTTGATTGGTTGAAAAATCTGTCTGACTTTCGCAACCATTATTAAAAGAGATATCGGTCCCGTTCAACGCCTTGACACGAAGGGTTCGATGACCCTTCCAACAGTCGCAGGGAAATTCTTAGAGATGAAAGACGTGACGGAAGCGAAACTGTAGAAGTCATGGCATGGAGTCTCAGTACGAGAGTACTCCAGTGCACTGTACTGAAATAGGGGATGCCTCTCGTTTAACATGCCGCGACCCAAAACGGCTTTTGACTGTAAACGACACAGCCATAGTGGGACCGTAGCTACACCGGAGCCATATCGTGCATTGCTCAACCACGACGCAGAGACTCGCACGTCGGCCGCCTCTTATTAGCGAGTATATACCTATCCTGCAATGACGTCCAGTGAGTCCAACGTAGCCTGGACAGTTACCCACAAAACGTCCGCACTCAGGAATCGGTTGGCTCGCAACGCCTTGCGCTCGTCTTCTTGTGGCACGCACGACCTGCGAAATGCCCCCTGTCAATGGCGCTGATTAGATGACCACTGCACATCTTCATGGCACGGAAATCTGACTCGCGTCTGTACGTCCGTGTTCAACTCCCTGACCACATCTCAATTCACCTTCGAGGACGCAAAGCCACGCTTTCATTGAAGCCCGCTTAGCAATGAGCGGACACGATACGGCTGTGATCGTGGCCAAAGTGCTGACTATCATCACTACCATCATGTTGCGAATTTCGCTCATGCCCGACTTCAACCGATGGCGCAGGAACCGCAACACTGGCGACATGTCGGTTATGCCCTGCGTCTTGCTGTACACAAACTGCTACGTGTTACTGTACTACGCGTACGCTATCGACGATATGCTGCCATTGTTCGCGACGTCCGTACTTGGCGTCGTGGTAGGAGGGATCTTGGTCTTCTATTTCTACAAATGGACGGACTACAAGCGCGCTACGATGAAGATCTTCATCGGGTCTTTCATTATCTGTATCGTTGTGACAATCTACGGCTCTCTCGCTCTTGCCGGTGAAACGGGGCAGACTAGAGACGCAGTGGGGACGACCTTTGGGTTTATTGGTGTAATGACCACGATCACTATGTATGCGTCCCCGATGGCTACAATTGTGAATGTGGTCCGGACGAAGACGGCGTCTTCAATGCCGTTCACAATGGGAGTCGTCGTCGTGTTTAACAGCTTTTGCTGGGGATTTTACGCCGTGTTAGTGAGCAACCCATTCATCTTGGTTCCGAATATCGCTGGGTTTACGCTCGGTGTTATCCAGTTGAGCCTTACGTTCGTTTACCCGAGAGCTGCTCCGAAGGTAGAAGACGAAAACCATACAGATAAACCAGCCCTATCGGTTGTGGTGCTTTCGCCTGTTCAAGACGGAGAGCAGGAGAGGAAGCTCAGCTCGGTGGATGGACGGAAGAGTCCGAGCTTCGTTGCGATACGCTCGCCAGCAAGAGAGGAGACACGGTCGTGGAGAGAAATTAGGAATAGCGGGAGATTACAGTAGAAAGCTCCTTGAATATATTTTCATTTTAATGATATTTTTGGGAGGAACATGTTGCTGAAAGTTATTGTGAGGATGATCTTACGTGCGGATAATATCTCTTTAACCGGCTGAAGAAGCAGTAGAGCAACACTTGGTGATATACTAGTAGAATTCACTGTAATATTTGCCTTCAACGTGCCTCGAAAGGTTCGAAATCAGATGAAAGCAGATTGTCGGTTTGTGAATCCCGAAATTTATGCTAGAGCGCAACTTACGCTCATCTACATGATGGCCAAACTCGAATGATGCAAAACAACCCTCTACTGCTGCAGTTTCAGCTCTTTAATAGCGAAAGGGATTTACCATGGTAAATGCCGGTAGGTTAATTGTTAGCGCATACCGGTACTTGTATTTAGCCTTTTTTACATCTTCTCTTTTCTTCCGAAAACCTGTAGATGTTGATGATGACCAGGTCGTCCTATCTAAAACAGTTTCATCTCTCTTAATTGTTCACAGCACACAATCCTCTTTAAAGTATCCGTGAACAGACCGCTACTTTCTGCTAGACAAATTCTCCTTGCGTCTTTCACGTTGGACCCTTTGATACTTACCGACATCACCTACTCCCAATACGGTCGTAGGATAAAGCTCTGCGTCGTTCGTTCACAACTTCTTCAGTTTTTAACCTTCTGTAGCTTATAAAAGCTCAAGAGATACGAGGAGACGCCCCGCTTTCGCTTAGAGTGCTTAAATTGCGATTCGTACTTAGGTTCGTAATTGTCATTTTGTTTGACGCAGTCCATATCTGTTGATGTCACCTGCAAAAAGATTACACTTATGGAACGACCCGTTACTTCCCATTTCACTCACAAGATAACTTCTGGCCCTAGAGTATGAGCGCTAACCTCATTGTTGTCAAGATTTTCACCATCATCACGACCGTCATGATGCGATTCTCACTGGTGCCGGACTTCGTGAGGATGCGTATAAGCAGAGGAGCATAGGAGACATGTCAGTCATGCCACCGATCATGCTCTTTACGAATTGTTTTACGTTGTCCTTCAACTCGTACGTGATGCACGATGTTGTGCCGCTCTTCGTGACTTCAGTGCTTGGCGTCATCGTCGGTGGCATCCTCACGAGCTTGTTTTACTGCTGGACCAACCACAAAAAAGAATCTGCCCAGGTCATTATCCTCGCCATTTTCGTGTGTGTGTTCGGTGTTCTTGCCGTGACTGGAGTTACAGGACAAACTCACTCGGTAAGTACGACACTGGGCTTTATCACCATAGCAACGACGATCGTATTGTATGCGTCGCCCATGGCTACAGTCATACGAGTGCTGCAAACCAAGACAGCGTCGTCGATGCTGTTCAACATGGAAGTCGTAAATGTGACAGTCTTGGGTGGATCCTGTATTCACCGCTGATTGGTAACATGTTCATCCTTGGCCCCAACATCGGTGTTATCATTTTTAGGAGCCACTTAAATGGTGCTTACCTACCTCTACTCAGAGAAGAGACAAATTGACACTCGAAGCTTGTCGATATCGGCTGAAGGTGAACATTTCCTTACAGATATTTCGGCTATGGGCCAGTCTTTAGACCACGGAGAACATCGACTGAAGCATGAATACTCGAGCGGCTCTAGTTTTGAAGCGCTACCGTCTCGAAGCTGCGAATAGCGGTCGCGTGTACGGCACTTCAAGGAACCACGTTTTATATTCAAAAGAAGTAGAGGGAAACATAACCATCCAAGATCTACCTAAGCGCTCATTGTGATAAGATAGTGGCTTGGAGCTCTTACTGCAGGTAAATTATCTTCAGATTAAAAGGGGGAGGGGGGGTAAACAATCATCAGTTTCGCACTCTGATGCTAAATGTTGAGAAATATAGCTGAAATCTTACGATGATGCCTGATTTATGGATGTCTTTCAGTTTTTGATCGTAGGACAACAGTTGGAGAGGTATCAAGGCAATGACTTGGTCAGAATTTTTTGCGGCATCACGACTAGTCCGTCGTCGACGATGCAAATGTCATTCGTCACTTTTGGAAGCGCGATACACGATGAAGACCCGTTCATCATACACAAAAAAGTAGACGGTGTGATGACCTTGTCAGCGTAAGTGCTAGCAATGGGATAAGCTTCGAGGTATAACGAATGGCTTGAAAATGTTCAGCTTTTGCGTTCGAAAGCTTCAAATACGGTCTTAAGAGGAAACTTCCAGCAGATACGTCCGTTATTATCTCGGCGTTTAAGGTCTTGACGATCATCACCACACTTATGATGCGAGTCTCGCTGTTTCCGGACTGGAATCAATTGCATAAGTCCGGACATTCCGTGCTGCCGTGCGTCATGATCTTCGGCAACTCGTATGGTGTCCTCTTCTACACTACGTGATCAGCAACTACTTATTAATATTCAGGGCATCGATGCTTGGTGGCATCGTTGGGATCTCCATGACTTCTTCTTTCTATTTCTGAACCGCCGACCGACGTAAGGTATTTAATAGAGGAAATCCTCACCGTCTCCTCGGCCGTGCTCCTGGCAGTCATTGATACCCTCCCTCGACCGTGCTCCTAGAAGTCGATGGGTTTCTCGATCTCCGTGACGTTACAGCACTCAACCGAGCCGACATTGGATTTCATCGTGGTTGGAGTCGCGACCCTGTAGTACGCCTCGCCCTTGGTCACAAATGTCCGAGTCGTGCGAACCAAGGCCGCAGCGTCGATGCCATTCACGATGGGCGCTGTAAACGTACTGAACAGCTTTTGCTGGGGGATTTATGGCAAACTCATCCAAAATGACTTCCTATTGCTCCCGAGTTTGACGTTGAGTATTGATAGCTCCGTTCGTCTATAGATGAAACGGGACCGAAGACCCGATTGATGTTCTACTGTAGTTGTTTCTGGCGAGCAAGATTACAGAAGCTGTAAGAAGACGGCAATGCGCTCACCGTAGAATATAAACTGAGCATAATTCTAGCAAAATGCAATTTTGTACATGTTCAGTAACTTTCATCAATATAAAGAATCTATTAAAAGTCATTTTGAAAGGTAAAGAGGATAATAATTATTATTATAACTAGATTGTGAGATCAGCCGATAGCATAGAGGCTGCAGTATACTTATCCATAGTACAGTACTGCACCCGTTTTCGCGGGGATGGACCATATAGGATCTGCAAATAAATCCGATTCTAGCTGACAAACAATTGTTCAATTGGATTCAGGATCATCACATCCGGAAGTTTATCAAAGGTCCAAGGGCGCGAAAACGGGGTGCAGTTCTGTACGTTTCTTTCTTGAGGCAGATTACAGTATTAAAACCGGTTTCGATGCAGACCTTACATAGATGGTGCAAAGTGCGACCAATCACACCGAACGAAGCATTGAGTCTACACATCCTTCAGGCATCACTGCTCAAAAAGCGAGTCAGTTTGCATTGTGCTGAGCAGACCATACACCTTCAAGATTCCAATACATGTACTTTAGACGACCATGAGCGACAATGACACAGCCATCCTCATTTTCGAGATCATCACCATCGTCACGACCATCATGATGCGACTGTCGCTGCTCCCGGACTTCAAACGGATGCGAAACATGAAGAGCACAGGCGACATGTCCGTGTTGCCCTGCGTGTTACTATACGCAAACTGCTACCTCTTATGCTGGTACAGCTACGCCGTGGACAACATCATCCCTCTTTTTCTGACTGCGGCACTTGGAGTCATCGCTGGAGCCATTCTCGCCGTCTTCTTCTACAAGTGGACAACACACAAGCGTGACGTCATTAAAGCATTCGTTATTTCGGGGGTCGTGATGCTTCTAGAAACCGTTTATGGCCTGACTGCGCTACTAGGATGGACAGGTCAAAGTCGATCGTCCACAGGTACAACATTGGGGGTTCTCGTTATAATCTCGTCTGTCGGATTCTACGCTTCGCCGATGGCTACAATTCGACACGTGATCCGAACCAAGACGTCGTCCTCGATGCCGTTCACCATGGGCGTCGTGAACGTCATCAACAGTTTCTGTTGGGTCGTGTACGCAATTCTGGTCGAGGATGTCTTTATTTTGGTCCCAAATGCGTCAGGAGCAGTACTAGGCTCGATCCAGCTCATGCTTACGTTTATTTACCCACGTAAAGGTCCTGCTGAAGGCCAGATCTTTTCTGCGACGAACAATGGCTCTCGTGATGTATCGGCCGTTTGTGGTGAACAAACTTTGCTTTCGGTCGTGGTTCCCTCTCCAGTACAAAGTAGTCGAGATAACAGGAAGAACGGGGTTGTAGGACGCCCAAATTTTGTTGCACTTAGATCTCCTGAGTCATAGATAATGTTCGTAAAATGACTTAAGAAAAACAATTCGTGTAGGGGGGATTAGGTGTTTCATTTTCTTCTCCAATTTTTTTTATCACAGGCTCGTGTGTGTGGGAGGGGGGGGGGTCCGCAAAGTTATTCTCTTCTCACCCCTATGCTGTAAAACAAAATACAGCGTGTGGCAAATACAACAGTATTTCTATCGTGGGGTGCTTAACTATGCGAAAGTCCCAATTTACTCAATAGCAGCGGCACAATCTATATTTTCACGAGCATTTTGTGAGCATTATCTCTCTGATCTCATCATAGAGTGGGATTTTATATTCCCGTTGACAGCTGCCTCCTGGCAAGTTGTAGCGCTGGAGGCACTGATTGTACAGCCTGCTGCCGTATCATCATGTGCAATGACGATCAACTAACTATGACAAGCAACCGCCAGGTCCGCATCAACACTTCGACTGCATATTCTACATGTGTGCCGCACCAACAGCGGCACTTCATAATCAAGGAACAACGGTTGGTGGCGAGTGCTGCCACGAAGCACGCCGCCAGTGAAGAGTAGGAGGTAGGAACGAGAATCGTTTGTTTTTAATAAACTTACTTCGCAATCTACTTTCAAGCGCTTAGTTAGTGTAGTCTGAAGCACTGCGTAAGTTACATCTTGGACTGCAACAAGGCTATCCAGAGTCAAGACGACAGCCACAACCCATGAAGTTGCAGTATTGAGCTGCAACCCTGCCGTGGCACAAGGATACCAGCAGGAGCTGCACTGGCAGAGTTCGTAGGTAGAAGCTTAGCTGCGAATCTCACTTTAGCATTTGCAGCGCATCTAACAGCAGTATTTCCAAGCGGAACTTGGCACAAAGTTATCATTAGCCCACGAAGGACCGCTCAAGATGCAAGAAGGAGCTCAATATGACGCCGACGGTGATGCCGTGATGAAGAGTGTTCACCAACCCGTTTTCGAGTTCGTCCATATCCCCAAGCTCGAGGAGTGGAATCAGGATGCTGTAGTCAGGTGGAAGCGCCGCTGGGACCAGTACGTCGACACCATGCGTCAACGATGCGTCGAAAGTGGTGATCGTCCAGAAGTGGCCACTAAGCCAGTGAAATCGGCAATTGAGCGCACACCTTTGCAAGTGTTGTGTCTCTACGAGCTACATAAAACTGTAGGAGATGTGACGAGCGAAGATCTGATCGCTCTCATTGACTCTAAGCTTGGTTCGGCTAAGAATGCTTAGGCCCCAGACCTTGATGCATTTTTCAAGCAACATTTGAAAGTCGACCTTCGCGAAGATGACATTGACGCCAGAGTGCTCAAATACTATCGTGATTTTTCGGCTCTCATCGAAGAGAATGGACTCGGGAAGATTCTTGGAGTAGGTAACCCCGCAGAGCCCGAGTACACTGATCGAATGAAACTTCGGTGCACTGTTCTCCTTGACAATTTGTAGCCGAAAATGCTCCGTGAGGATGTTCAGTGACACGTGAAGTACGAATGTCGCGAGGCGAAGCGCGACGACTTCACGTTGTTTGGCATAATTAAGGAGAAAGCTCGTGCCCAGCACAGGTACCATCTACTTGCACTGGAGCACAACGCAAAGTCAAACTTAACCAAGAAGGACAAGTCGACTGACCGGACCACCAAGACTGTGGCTAAGACTGCGTACAGCAAGACAACTGCTGGAACTCCGGGTGACACTGGCGGTGGGACGGGTGTTGGAGGTTCTGGTGGTTATACGAGGCCCCAACCATCCAGGAAGGAGAAGTCACCGCCTAAAACAGGCTGCTGGCATTGCAAGGAAACGCATTGGCTACGCGATTGCCCGTCTGCCAGCAAGGAAGCCAAGGCCAGAAAAGATGAAAGAGGTCCGAGGACGGGTCAAGAAGGTCGGTGCTACGCCAGCACCAGGTAAAGTGTTGGTAAATGACCTTTTGACAATTCCGTACCTTGCCGACACCGGGTCAGACGAAACTTGGTTACCTCGTCAGTACCTCGACGAGCTCATGGAACTGTGAGCTACGATTGACATTGTGCCACTGGCAAGTGTGGAAAGGAAAGTAGCGGCCGGTGGTAATTTTGTGGAGTGTCGCGAAGCCGTTCAGCTTGATCTTCTGTTGCAGACGGTGGCTGGTCCAGTGCATGTGGCCGATGTCTACTGTAAAATCATGGAGGGAGATGAAGAAGATTTCCTCCTAGATAGCGACACTCTTGTTGACCTTAGGAATTGATGTCAATGAACAACTATCGCAACTCGCTGCTGCCCCCCCCCTCCTGCGGATAAGGACCCTTGTGACGTAGGGGTTCCTGAGTCAATGCCGTCAGCGGAGATCCACTCCGAGTTGAAAGGCATGGTAGTGGCAGCTGGCGACAACGGGTTTGACAAGGGATATTTAGGCTTTCTTCGAGAGGCTGTTATGGAGTATGAAGATGTCTTTTGAATCGATCTACTAGCCGATCCTGCGGCTGATGTTGAGCCACTGCGCATTACGTTACGACACCATTTCGAGCTCACCCACGCCGTTACGCACCTGCACAGAGTGCGTTCTTGCGGAACCATGTTCATTAGTTGGAGACGATGAGATTCATTCGTCGAAACAACATGAGTCTCTGGGCGGGTGCTGCGGTGCCCGTACCGAAAGCTGGTAGGCCAAATGAGTTTCGATTAACGATCGGCTCTCGCCCAGTGAATTCGGTAACAGTTCCGATAGCTGGTACCGGGTCCGATCTTACTTCGTCGGCGAATCAATTTGCTGGTGCTTATGTGCTGGATTTGATATGCCAAGCGGCTTCTCACAATTACCGCTTCATTTTGACAGTCACGAAACTATGAGTTTTCACTGATGACGGAGTATGGACTCCTTGTCGCGTACTGCAAGGATCAACTGACTCACCACTGCATTTTCTAAACCAGATGGACGTCGTGTTTGAGGACACGCACGAAGAGATACTTATCTGGATTGATGATATTCTGATGCATGCACGTAGTCCAGAAGAATTTGTCGCGACGCTACGCCTATTTTTTGGCTCGTGTCCGTGAGCGACGGCTGAAGCTGAGTGTTGTGAAGGGTATCTTGTTTCGTAAGAAAACTAAGCGGTGTGGGAAAATCTTTAGCGGCGAAGGTATTCGTCACGATCCTGAAAGACTCAGTGGCCTAGTCGAGCTCCCGTTACTGGCTACGACCGCGGACCTGCAGCAGTTTCTTTGCGCTACAGGATGGATGCGCGATTTGCTAATGGACTACAGCAGAGTTATGCAGCCTCTGCACGACAAAGCGGAAGGGATTTTAAAGCTGGTCGGCCGAACGAAGCGACTGGCTGCAGGTGCTGTGGCTAACTGGGAACTGGAAGATGTCGACGCCTTTGAACAGACACGGCAGCTTCTTACGACGGCACAAACGCTATATTTCCCCTCGAGTGACGCTGACATTTGTGTGATGTCGGATGCTTCTGACCGAGGTAGGGGTCTCGTTGTCACTCAAGTTGGTGACTGGATCGCTGGGTTCCTGTCACGGGTCAACAGCACGAATTGCTTGTCTGCAAGAGTGGTAAGTTTGACTCTACGGAACCGTGATGGAGTATCATTGAAAAGGAAGCATACCCTATTAATTGGGCCTCACGAAACCTCACGTACTTGCTTGTGCGTGCAAATGGTTTCTGTTTATACTGTGACCACAAGAAGCTCATCTACGTGTTTCCTCCCGGACAATAGGTGAAGCAACACGTGCGTGGAAAATTGCAACGCTGGGCACTTTCGCTGACTGGACTACCGTATCAAATCGATCACATCGACGGCTCAGTCAACCTGTGGGCTGACTTGCTATCGCGATGGGGGCTTCCATCGAGTGGGGAAGGTGGTGTGGCCAAATGCAAGGTGGTCACCACGCGCAGTCAACAGAGAGAAGTCTCAACAGCAAACGAAGACATGCAGCGTGTACACCTGCGAGCAGAAGGATTTGTTTTCCCGACACTCAGCGAGATCAAAGCGGTTTAGACAAAACACGCAAGTCTCACACCAGCCTCCGCGCACCGCGACCATGACGGTACCATACTGGTTAACGAGCGCTTCTGGGTACCTAGAGCTGAGCCGGCCCTTCTGCAGCGTATCCTAATTGTAGCACACTATGGCGTGCAAGGACATAGGGGCATTGAGTCAATGATCACTACCGTGGCAGTGCTATTTGAGATCGGCAATTTGGCACAGTTGTGTCGCCGTTTTCTTAGCCGATACCTCATCTGCAAGCATGTGAAAGGAGGGAATATTAAACCTCGCCGGTAGGGACCTACGTACGATGCCAAGAAACGGAACGAGCTGTTACACGTTGATTCTCTCTACATGGACGATGTCATGGGCTCGAGTCGCTATGCACTCTTACTTAATGATGGTTTGACGCACTTTTGTGAGCTAGTGGCGTGCGATTCACCTACAAGTACGGCGGCGGCATGGGCTTTAGAGGATTGGTGGAAACGTTTCGGTGCACCGACTGTACTGATATCGGATCAGGGGAGCTACTTTAAAAATGAGGCGATCAGTCGAGTTTGCAAAAAGCTTGGCGTCGACCAGAGTTTGGTAGTCTCATACGCACCATGGATAAACGGAGCAGTAGAGCGTCTGAACCGCGACGTACCGCAAGCTCTACGCGCGCTACTTATGGAATTCAAAGTGGACACGCATGAGGTGTACCTGCTGCCGCTAGTTCAAGGAAACATCAACCACACACCTGTACGATCGCTGGGTGATAAAGCCCCCAGTGAACGCTTCACGGGGTTACCCCGACTAACCCCTTTCGAGTCAATCCTGATCGAGAGAGGTAAAAAAAACCAAGATCCTACCGGATGCCACTGAAATGCCGGATCAAAAGCTAGACAGGCTGCGTGCCAGCCTAGTTGAAATACACCAAGAGGTTATGGATCAGCGCGAGAAACGTCGACGCCAGAATATGGCTTGGTCCAAAGGGACCGAGTGCAACTTCACTATCGGAGATTTCGTCCTTTGGTCACGTATTGACTCACGTTTATCAGTGGACAAGTTGCTGGCTAGATGGGTTGGCCCGTTCGAAGTTATGGAGACAGCTCCACATTCGTTCGCAATTAGGCACTTAGTGGCGAACAAGCGTTACATCGTGCATGGCTCGCGTCTCAGGTTTTATGCCGACTCTAGCCTCAACATCGACACAGAACTTCTGGCTCATGTATGCAACCAAGGGATGGCTCTTGGCGTGGAAGCCATTTTAAACCGCCGAAAAGACAATGGGGTTTGGCAGTTATTGGTATCGTGGGAAGGTCAACAGCAAGAAGAGGACTTGTGGGAAATGATAGCTTCACTTCAAAAAGACGTTCCTTCGCATGTGGCGCTATGTGTGATGTAACGGGGTTACATGGTGTGGAGCACACAGGGGTACGAAGTACCCGGAGAGTTAACAAACTCTCAGTACATAAGTTGGAGAGTTAACAAGGTCTCTCAGTACGTTGGCTGAAAGCCACACGTTATGCATTTGATTAGATTTAACTATGCTAGATAGTTAAAGAGATACATTTACCCCTAGGCGGCTTGGCCGCAATAATAGTAAATAAAACACTTCTGGTTTTGAAGCATAAAAGTTAAGGTGTTAACTTTGAGCCCTGGTCTTGGGCTGTAAGTGTCCTTTGGATAAGGAACTTAGTATTAGTGACTCTTTGAGTCGAACGTCTTCCTCTGACGCTAAAGCTACGGCAGCCCCGCTGCATGTGACGTCTAGCGGTGACCATGTACTTAAACGAGCCTATTCTGCATTAGCTACAGCTGCCAGTAACTAACGGGACCTTGCGACGATTTGGAGCAATAACTTCAACTAGTTGAAGTGCAACTTGACCGGTAATACCCGCCGGTCTCACATTTGGATCGTCTATGGGGTGACGTGATCATGAGTGACACGTTTTGTCACTTTCTATACTTGCATTATGGACATAGATGTCGTCTTCGGGGGCAGTGTAGTCTGAAGCACTGCGTAAGCTACATCTTGGACTGCAACGAGGCTACCCAGACCAAGAGAACAACCACAACCTTACATTAAGTTGCAGTATCGATCTGCAACCCTGCCGCGACACAAGGAGAGCAGCAGGAGCTGCACAGGCAGAGTTCGTAGGTAGGAGCTTAACTGTGAATCACACTTTAGCATTTGCATCGTATCTAACAGCAGTATTTCCAAGCGGAACTTGGCACAATTGGCTACATTGTTAACAATAGATACCCAAGATGACGATGGCCGATTTCGGCTCTGTGGATCAAGATGAAGACGTCGAGATGACCGTCCCCTAGCCGATATTTGAGTTTATGAAGGCGCCCAAGTTGACCGCATTGAGCCAACCAGTGTTGGTGGGGTACCTACGTGACCGTCGTCAGTATTTGGGAAAGGTTGGAGAGCGATGCATGGTCACCGGCGAAGACTAAGAGAACGTTACTTTTAGCATCAAGAGCTCTGTTGAGCCTTGGACCCTTGAGCATCTCGCACACTTTGTGCTGCGGACCCCAGTCGCGGATGTGACGGAAGGGGCCCTGAAACGCG